ATAAACTTTATATATATGCATTTTGAATTATTGGATAGGATATATTTTGTTTCTAGATGCCAAACTCCTTTAAAGAAAGATACAGATGATATGGCAGACAGTGAAGAAAAAGGACCAGACATCATCCCAGCCAAAATAATAAGTCGTGTACACTGTCTTGGTAAGAATTTTATATTTATCAATCAATTTTTAGATATAAAAAGCATTAATAAACCCTAAAAATTTAATCTAATAATATATTCAAAAAATACATGCCCTATATCTGTATAGTAAAATACAACATAACTCGTGTTTTTATGTATAGAATTTAAGCAAAATTTCAAGCAGGGACTAGTAAAGTTATATATATATAGTATACTTTTTTTTATAACTGCAAAAAAATATTTTCTTTTGTCGTCTTACTCTACACAGTCTGAAATACCCGGTTGACTTGTCTTACCTAATACCACCTAGCTACTGGGAATTTTTCGAAACGAATGATCAGTTTGATCTGGCTTTCCCCCCTTTCTTCCCAAAATGTATTCAAGTAGCGCTGGGACTAACATGAGAAACATTGGCGTACACTCCCTTCTTTGCCGTATACATGAATTTCAAATGTTGCACAGGGAAGAGGAAGAAAGAAGGTAAAGAAAAACGCCGTCTGGACCAAACTTGTCTTTTATCTGCATCGTTGATGTTTGAAATGGATAATAGCTGTTACTATACTTTAACTTTTTCTTATAGAAAATTAATTCACATAAATATAATATTGTCAATAAATCGATTAAGTGATACAGAAACACAAGCGTAATCGATAGGAAGAAATATATGTTTAATTTTACGTTAGTCAATATATATATATATATATATCTGTATAGTTATATGTACTAAAATTGATTATAAAGTTTGTATTTTTTGATGGTTTTTCCATTTTTACTTTATTGTAGATGACGTTAAAGAATCATCATCTCCTCCAACTAGTACAGCTGCCATATGTCATTGGAGTTCTTCCTCGAGGGAAGTCGTGTTCGAGAATACTTTACCAACACAAGCTTGTTCCACATTTAGAAAAGTATGCCATGATTCTTTTTATTATACTTTTATCTAACGTTCTGTATATTTATCGTTGAGTGAAGATAAAAGAAAATAACTGTAAATGATTCATCTGTCTCTAAAGATATCTATTCATGCATTCTAATTTGTTATGACAGGATAAACTCAATTTAATTTGAAACTTAATAAATGAAGCCATTTAAAATTTATCGTTCTACTTAATTAATTTCTATTAAACAATCCTTTTCTTTAATATACATATTGCAAAAATATTATGTCATGCAAGATTAATATCGCTTTTTACAATATTCAATAATTTATTATGTTGTTGATATTCTTTATTTTATTAAATTGTAAAGATTTTTCTATATTTTTATTTTTGAAAATTGATTTGTTTCTTATATATTTATATTATGTTCATTTAATTTGTTTGTAACATAAATTTACTGAGCAGTGATGTTACAGTATCAATATTTATGAATGTAATTAAATAAATATTATTCTTGTAACTAAGATGTAACCTTACGTACAAGAATGTATCATGTTTAATTTGTAAACATAAGTTTAAAATTTTTTATAAAATAATAAATATTAAACATGCATAGATAAGAATGTAATAATCTGAAAATTTCAATTTTCTAATGCATTTTCATGAATAATTTATTGTATCTTTATAAAATTGCGAATCTTCTTAAGACTTTATTAATTATTTTATATTTATATCATGCAGCCTGAAGATGTTACGTACGCTGAATTAGCTCTTCCCAAGGATTTACAAAGTTCAGCGACAGTTACAGTTAGAAGAAAAGAACCACCAACAGAATATGCAAAACTCGATTTACAGCGACATATGCCCTCTCATATTGTTGTAGGAGAACGAGACGACGACGAAGAAGCAGCATGTACATCGTGTGAAACACCATTAATGAACAATAAGAGAGAAAGTGCAGTGTAGCATCGACGAACAAGAACAAAATGGAAATAAAATAAGATAAAATAAAAAAATACAAATATATATTAAAAAAAAGAATATATAAGAATTCATCCACCGACAGTAAAGACAGCACCAGTTCCCAACCACGGAGGCGTCATGCCTGTCTGTTGGTTACACAAAAATCCTTCAGAATAAAGATCAACCTCAACCCTTTCCCTAGCGTGAATCAAAGCTTGCGTGTAGGATCTTAACGGGGGAGAACTTTTATCATAAATTTAGCGTTGGGAACGGCAGAAGTGTGCTGTCTACGATAAATCAGACAGATGGTTGTGAAGAATACAGACGGTCCTCACTGTAATCACGTGTTAAACCGTACTGTAAAAAATAAAATAAAATAAAATAAAACGAACCCACTTACTCCCCTTCCGGCTGTGGTGCTTGTGAATTCGCGCGACAATCCAAGGATTCAAAAGAAGATTATGTGTGTTCTGTTTATGTATGTTTAATAAATGTATAAAGAAAGAACTATAAAAAACAAAAAGAAGTACGGATTTAGCTGCCATTAAGTGAAGAAATTCGAAGACAGTATAACAGAGATATGAATAATAATAATAATAATATAATAATAAGAAAAAGTTAAATCGCTCAGGACTTGTCGATATAAAAATTAATGCTCTTGGACATTTGAGAATATTCAGAAAAGAAAAAAATATATATATATATAAAATTGTACACAGTCGTACAAGACATTCATTTTTCTGGAGTGATTCCTATGACTTAGCTTGATGTTTTACTTACAAACAATTGTCAACATGGATTTTTTGAAATACCGTTGCTTTGTTAAGCAAATAATGTAAAAGTGGCCTTCTTTATAAAAACAAGAAAAAAAAATCTTAAAAAAACTGACTTTTATCAAAATGTTTCATGTGTCAATTAATTAAAAATTTAAATTTTTCATTAAAAAATAGAAATAAAATTAACAACAGATTACTAAAGTTAACATTAATTAGACATACGTGATCATTATTTGTTTTATTTAAATTTTAGAAACGTATTTTTGATATAAATTAATAAAGAAAACAAGTAAAATTTTGTTAATTATTAACTGTTAGATTACGTTTATTAATTAATGTTCACTAATAAAGCATTTATCAATATCAACATGATAAATGTTTTAACGAAGTAATATATTTTCTGTCGAAGAAATGCACCAAGTAGATAATTTGTTTCGATAATAAATTAAGGAATAAGATAAATTCAATCAAATTTTCAAGCATATTTTATTGTCATAATGCTTTAAACTTTAATTTTTAATGGCATATACGTGAATACAGTAAGATACCCTCAAGTAATAATGAATTTTATATACTTTAATATATAAATCGCTTTTTTTATATTTATGTACGGATTTATACGTTTAAAATACAATTTAGAAAGTATTTTATTCTATAATTTATATATTTATTTATACAAAATACAATTTCATAAGAAAAAAAATATTGAAAATGCTTAAATAATAAAATATAAAATACAATTTTTGTTTTTTTTCTTATAAATTGAAAGAATTTTATGAAATGTTTACGAATTAAATCTTTGGAGAATTGAGAAACAAAACTTTTCATCGACTTAAAATAAAATAAAAAAAATATATATATATATATTATCCCCCCTTATATATTTATCAATGAATTAAATTATTAATTTATATTATTTTGTATGCAGTTTAATGTAAATTAATATTTAATTTTAATTAAATGATATTTGAAATTACATTTTTTAAGAAATAAATATTTT